TTTTACTCTGTGCGCCGCACATGACACCTCTCCCTAAGTTCCATCTTACATTCTTTAAGTACCCTAGAAAACATTTAGTTGGGCTCTGGGGACTTGTTTTCTTTCAGTTTATAAATCTGTTTGATAATCAAGTCGCTTGTAACAATAAAGTTAGTTAAACTGAATTCTTCAAGAAGTGAATAATTGTTAATTACTGGAATCTCATTTATGTCTTATTGTGTTAAGATTGAGAAAAAAATAATTAAATATAGAAAACATTTCCAGTTCGTTATCCGTCAGCTGTCCTTTCCCAATTTTCAGAGGTCCTACTTTTTCCCTCACCTTCGTCCTATACTCTTGAAAGAACTCTTTTGGATTAGTCTTTGATTCATTAGCAACCCTCTTTTACTTCTCTTTTAAACTAAACATATTGGTCAGTAAGGTTAACTACTTCTCTTTAGATTCTTCTTTTCTCCCCTAATAGACTCTTTAGCCTCCTGTTCACCCATTTGGGATAGTTATTATTTAGCCTAATTTCTCTCTGAGGAATATATATACTCCGAGCACATTCTACATCATTAAGGAAAAAATCATAGATGCAGATCCCTTCTTAATCATTTGTTCATCGTCAATAAAATCATTAGCTATATTACATCAGTCGAGATTGTACAGGTGTTACCTAAGTCCATTATAGTCGGAAGAACGAACATTGAAGACATTTACTGTATTATCCTTATTCTCGTACTCCCAGGCAATATTAAAGGAAATGGATTTGTGATCACTTACGCCAAGCTCTTCAGTAATCTCCAGATTATTTGCGAGTTTTTTTTTATTTGATAAGACCAGATAGAGCAAATTATTACCTCTGGTAGGCTCTGTTCCATAAAGTCACTGGGCTCCAGATTACTGATTCGAAGTTCCCATAGTAGCCTTCTGGTTCTTCGTCATTTCTACCTCTCCCTCCGTCCTCTTGATTCATTCTATGATGTCCAGCAACTGTCCAGGTTCTTTTCTTGAGGATTCACAGAAGGAGGAGTACTAAACAGTATCAAATTCTTTATCTTGATCAACATCCTCAAAAGCTTTACTGAAGAAAGTAAATTAGCTAGGCAGAAACTGCCCCTCATGAATACATGCAGAGTATCATTAATCAGATTATGCTCATCAAGATGACTTCTTATAATATCAGCTATAACTGACTCTTAGTAATTTGCCTACAAGTGAGATCAGGCTTATTTGCCGGTAATTTGATGGTAACGACTAGGGACCTGATTTAAAAATAGGAATTGCATTGGCTATCTTCCACATATCAGACACTACACCTGTTTGAGGAGATATATTAAAAATGTTAGTTAATGGTTCACAAAGTTAAATTTTGCACCCCTTAAGAATCCTTGAAAAAAGTTCATTAGGGCCCGGGGATTAATTTTGTCTCAGTCGGTCTACTTGTTTGATTACCATATCCCTAGTGACTGTGATATTACATAATTTATCTTCGTCAAGCCCACTATAACATTAATTACTGAGATATCGTTAGTGTCTTCCTGTGAGAAATCCGAGAGAAAATAATTATTAAAAATAGAGCACATTTCATTCTCCTTGTCAGTAAGTTGCCCAGAGTTGTTTTTAAGAAGACGTATCTTTTCTCTAACTTTTGTTCTATAAACCTTGAAAAAACCTTTCAGGATAGTTTTCGTATCCCAAGCAACTTTAATTTCATAGTCCCATTTAGCTTTTCTTATCCCTTTTTAACCTCCCTCTTAAAGTAAATATATTGATTCATAAGATGACCTTTCACCTCTTTTGATGAACCTATAAATTCCTTTTTTTCTGCCCTAAAAGATGTTTGAGTCATTTCTTTTCGATCTAATTTCTTTAAGCAGAATAATTGTTCATTTGGCAGCATGTACACTATTTAGAAAGCTGTCATATTGATAGCTCTCTTCGTTACCCTGGTCCACAGATATGTATTCTCTATGCCCATTATAATCTACTAAGTGAAAATCTGGGACCGTTACTGAGTTATCCCTAATATCATACTTCAAGTCAATGCTAAAGGTAATGGATTAGTGGTGCTCTGTAATTTCTAAATTATTAACAAGAGTTTCCTTGTTTGCCAGAACCAAGTCAACCAGATTATTTCTCCTTGTAGATTCTGTAACAAACTGCTTAAAAAAACAATCCTGAGCTATCTCTAAGAAGTTGTTAGACCTCTAAATGCCCAGTCAAGGAATTCCAGTCATTCTGACTAAAGTTAAAGTCCCATAGAATTATTATGTTATTGTGCCTTGTGGCCCTAACAATTTCTTTCCACAGTAGTCTTCCTTGGTCCCTATCCAACTTTTGGGGACGGTATACTATAACGCCTAAAATAATTTTTTTCGTGCCCCTCTGAAAATTCTACCCACACTGACTCAGTATGTGTTATCTCAGACTTTATACCCGTTTTTATGCAGTGCTACCCCACCCTCGTTTTTCCCGATTATTCGTATTAAACCACGTCTCAGTTATGACAAATACATCAATATTACCCATACTTTCAACTAATCTGAACTCGTCCATCTTATTTCTAGCACTACGACTGTTAGTATAATATAAATTTAGGAACTCTCCTTTCTCTTTTTCTTCGTGTTCATTTCTGTTTCTCCACTATCACTATTACTGTTCTTATTACCTGGCCTTATTACCACTGGATTTCATTATTCACTAATAATTCTATCTCATTTTGCCTATAACTGGTTTCCCTAAAACTCACACTATCACTACACTGAGAATTCATTTCTTTCCTACAAAAACCCATGCCATTAATGATTTATAGTTTAAAACCCTAACAGCTCCCTCCATTGCATTGGTCAGTGCCTCATCCCAAACATGAATAATTGAACCTCATCCCTGGCATACATGTCATTTCTGGCGTAGAAGAGGATGATAGACACAAATAAGGGAGATATAAATAAGATTCTGAGGAAATCTTTCTGGAAAGAACTAGAAATGAGGACTTCAGATTTAATAAATTTACATTTAAGAAGAATATAAAACTACTGGTTTGGAAATAGAGTAGTCGATGAGTAGAACAGTAACCCTAGTAGGTTCATTGAAGCTAAAAGCTTGGGTAGCTTGAAATAGAGGTCAGATAAATTCATGAGTGAGAGGTGTTGGATTTAAATGGGATTTGCACTTGAGTTAACAAGGTTTTCAAAGCATATTCCTTGGGTAACATTACACAAATAACCCGCACATAAAAGAGAGAAGCTTACGACGACGTTTCGGTCCGACTTGGGCCATTGACAAGGTCACACTAACAGAGGTGGAGCAGGACGGCTATATATAGGCAGGAAGAGGTGGAGGTAGTAGTAGTAGTAGTAGTACTAGTAGTAGTAGTACAAGAATTGTATATAATACCGACAAGATGAAATTAAGACACATGCACAACACCCGGGCATCCCATCGTAGACGTTTCGCCATCCAGCCAGCCACTGGATGGCGAAACGTCCACAACAAAGACAACCAGACGCCGCACATGTGTCTTAATTTCATCGGAAGTTGTAGTAATAGTAGAAGAAGAAGAGGTAGTGGTAGTGGTAGTGGTAGAAGTGGGAAATAAGGATGACGAGCCAGTCAAAAACAAAAACAAAGGAAGGGGAGCACTGCAAGAGAGCTAGATGCCCACCTAAGGAGAGCAAGCGCACAGAGGTGCGTGAAAGGGGAAGTGGTGAAATAAAATAAATGAAGAAGGAACAGAAACACGAGACAGGAGAGAGAAAGACAACCCAGAGGAGAAAAGGAAAGAGGATGGCTGGATGGCGAAGCGTCTACGATGGGGATGCCCGGGTGTTGTGCATGTGTCTTAATTTCATCTTGTCGGTATTATATACAATTCTTGTACTACTACTACACTACTACTACTACTACTACTACTACTACTACTACTACTACTACTACTACTACTGCTACTACTACCTCCACCTCTTCCTGCCTATATATAGCCGTCCTGCTCCACCTCTGTTAGTGTGACCTTGTCAATGGTCCAAGTCGGACCGAAACGTCGTCGTAAGCTTCTCTCTTTTATGTGCGGGTTATTTGTGTATCGTTCCAGTCACGGTATTGTGCCTTTTTGTTATTCCTTGGGTAACATTGATAATCGGTTGGCCGAACAGTTTTGTTTGTCGGTTTTGGTTTAACAAGAACGTGACAAGTATGGGCTAGTAAGCCTGCTGCAGTTCTCCTTTGTTATGTTCTAATGTTCAACTTTTATCTGTGAGTATGGTTATAAAGAAAAGAGTAGGATGTAATATATTATGTGTGGCGGATTTGGTTCGTTATTAATACATAGATCTGTTGTACTAAAATGATAAATTCAAGTTTATTCTCATTCATCAGCTGCAGCAGAAACAACAAGAGCAGCAAGCAACTGAGAGTTGCAGCAAAAACAGCAGCAGCAGCAGCAATAGCAACAACAGGAAGAGCAGTAGCAGAAGGATCTGTTAGTATTGCTACTGCTACTGCTGGGCAGCAACTGCTTCTACGTAGGTTCTGTTCTTCAATTATTGCTATGTAGCAGACGCAGCAGTAACAGTGACAGAACGAGCAGCATCACCATAAGAGTAGTAGCAGTAGCATTAGGAGTGGTAAAAGAACAAGTAGGTGTTTTTTAGTGTGAATTGGTTCGTTATAAACATAATTGTTATATAAAATGACAAATTCAATTTATCTCTTTATGTGAGAGAAACTTCGCACACAAGTGGGTATCAGCCAAAAAAGCATTGAGGACTGAGCAACAACACTCAAGGCAGAGAGGACTGATTACTATTCTACTGCTACTGTTCACAATTCTAAGTTTCTTTCTTTGTATTGCTATGCAACGCACAGTGTGCGAACGAGCCTCATAAGAGTACCAGCAGTTAGCACATGTGTAAGTCTTAACAGACCAATAGTAGTAACAGCAGCAGCAGCAGCAGCATTAGAACCTGCAACAAAAGTATCAACTCTTTCAATCATTCAGACAGATTTTTCCACCACAGAAACCCGACTCCTGATGGTTCCCTCGGGTTCACCTGGGAGCCGAGCACCGAAGACAACCTTCAGTACCTCGCTCTCAACCTCAAGCCTACCATGGTCTCCGACCAGCGGCAAGAGGTCAGTCCTCCTCTGCTGAGAACAGTGCAAGTGAAATTCAGATATTAAGCTACCATTTTCAAGTACACAAAGACAGACATAGACACACACACAAAGACACGAAGACACGAAGACACACACACACAACACACACACACGACACACACACAACACACACACACACACACACACACACACACACACACAACACACAAACACAGACACACACAGCACACACAGAAAACACAGACACACAGACACACACACACACACACATCACATACACACACTCACATACACACACACACACAACACACACAGACACACAACACACACGACACACACACACATTATACTGAAGACAGCAGACACCTGTGCATACAGTCACACATCACACACAATATCACACACGTAATACTTCAACACTACAACGTTACAGGCACACACAGCACCCAGCCTATTTTTACTGGTCAGGTTATGCCTGTGTGTGACATTTGTTGTGAGGTTATTGTCTTGTACGGTTATTTACTATGTGTAGCTGTAGTCCTGAGGCCAGTTTCAGTCTGTATTAATATTTCAACATAATTGTTGCAGATAAATGTGTGATTCATGTGATGTGAGGCGTTCAATGAAAATTCGATTCACTAGACAAAAATATCATCAAGGGTGTCTTCACAAAATTCGACATAACAAACTGGGTTAAAATCCTAAATAACAAACTGATATCCTAAATAACACTGATCCGAACCTTTGCCTAGAAAAAATAAACTCTATGGTTCTTGAGATCTTCTCAAGTCACATTCCATTAAGAAAAAGAAAGAGAAGATGTAAACTAGGAAGTAAGAGACTCTCCCTATACAAACGAAGGCGAAGAGTCACAGAGCAGCTGAGAGGGGCCAATACGAAGGAAGGCACTGATCAATGAAATTGCAATATCGAACTTAAGGTGAAGGATTCTTACAGGAGACAAGAATTGCAGTAAGAACTAAAAGTCATAAAGGAAACTGAAAAAAAAACACTTCTTCTCGTATGCCAACTCTAAGGGAAGAACAACATTCATTATTGGGCCCCTGCTTATGCGAGATGGGACGTACACAGATGATAGCCAAGAAATGAGTGAGAATCTAAAGTCCCAATACGACTCAGTGTTCAGCGAGCCACTGCCCAGACTAAGGGTCGAAAATCCAAATGAATTATTTATGAATGGAGACCAAAAATTTGGTTATCTCAAAAATCTTGGATATTATCCTAACACCACAAACTTTGAAAAGGCAAGAAATGACATGCCCATGCATTTTGCCCCAGGCCCAGACTCATAGAACTCCATGTTCATCAAGAACTGCAACAAACCCTTGTCGTATGCCTTCAGCATTCTTTGGAGAGGGAGCATAGACACAGGGGCCATCCCACACTCACTTAAAACAACAGACATAGCCCCACTCTACGAAGGTTGCAGTTAAGCAATTGCAAAGAAATACAGACCTACAGCACTAACATCCCTTATCATAAGAATCTTTGAAAGGGCTCTAAGAAGCAAGATAGCCAGACACCTAGATACCCATGAGCTACACAACCCAGGGCAACACGGGTTTAGAGCAGGTCGCTCCTGCTTGTCACAGCTACTGGACCACTATGACAAGGTCCTGGATGCGGTTGGAGTGGTGTGGTTTCCATACTGGTGATGCATACTCTGATACGGGCCTTAAGAATGTGGCGAACAGTGTTGTGAACGACTCCTTACTTAAATGTCGAAACCCTAGTCTCAGGCTTGCCAGGCGCTCGTAATCTGCTGCAGTTATTTATATTAAAACTATATTAGCATCCTTATTTCTACAAGTACATGTTCAAGGTACACAGCCTAGCTGACATCAGTGACATACTGCAATATAGAAAGGTGATTGTTATCCATAGCATTTCGGGCAAATTAGGCCAGATTTTTCCCAGGATGCAACCCACACCAGTCGACTAACTCCCAGGTACCCATTCAACTGATGGAGAACATAGACAACAGGTGTAAAGAAACGCGCCCAATGTTTCTACCCTTGCCGGGAATTGAACCCGTATGAAGTGAGAGCTTTGGCCATCAGGTCACAGGGCCTGTGGAGATTTGCTCAGTACGATGCTCACCCCATGATCCCTTTCCTTGAGTGAGCTTTGCAGCCGTTGGCCTCCTAGGCTGTACTCCATTTTCCGTCTCCTTTTTCCTTCCTCAGTCTTCATAACTTTCACTTGCTGGGGGTTATACTGCAGGAGCCACTTGTCAGACCAGGCGTGCAGCCTGTCCAGATTCCCTTGTATGCTTACCTTATTCTCTTCCGCTTGTACTTTCCTCATTAGTTTCACATCGTCTGTATACAGGGACACCTCTGACTCTATCCCTTTAGTCATATTATTCACACATACAAGAAACAGCACCAGACACCCACTCTGACACCTCGTCTTGGACCGACACACGTTGTTTCCTTCCTGTCAGGTATTCCCCTGATCAGTTGCAGTACTTTCCCTCCTATTCCTGCCTGCTCCTCTAGTTTTTCAATCAATCTCTTGTGTGGACCCCTGTCAAAAGCTTTCATACAGTCCAAGAAGATGCAGTCTACCCATCCCTTTCTCTCTCTTGTCTTACTTCTGTTACCTTGTCTTAGAATTCAAGTAGATTTGTTACACAGGATTTCGATTCCCTGAAGCTGTGCTGGTTGTTATATATTAGTCTAGTCCATTCTAGGTGCCACTACTCTTTTCCTAATAATCTTCTCCATAACTTCACATACACAACACGTCAGTGACACTGGTCTGTAGTTTTGTGCAACCTGTATGTCTCCTTTCTTAAAAATCGGGACTACATTTGCTGTCTTCCACACCTCAGGTAGTTGCCCTCTTTCGATAGATTTATTGAAGTTTTTTGTTAGTGGCACATACAGTGCATCTGCTACCTCTTTCAGGACCCAAGGAGTGATATTATCTGGGCCCACCGCCGTCGATGTATCTAATTTTCCTAGCAGTTTCTTCAGTTGCGTGCAGCGTGTCCAGCACTTGCTGGTGCACCCAACCACCTCGGTTTTCAGGGAGCCTATCTGTCACCACTGTGAATTCCTCCCTGAATCTTTAGCTGAGCTCTTCACATATTTCTTGGTCGTTCCCGGTGAGTTCTCCTGATGAGGATGTATAACAATTTGGGATCAGATTTGGGTTTTGATGTTATGTCATTCTCGTATTGATGCTGGGCTTCTCTCCTTATCCATTCATATTCATTTCTGGCTCTTCGGCTCAAATCCTTGTTTTCCTGAGTCCTTTGCCTTCTATAATTTTTCCATGTTCTTGAACACTTGGCTTTGGCCTCTCTACACCTGGTAAACCATGAGCTCTCTCTGGTCTTCCCATTGTTTCTGTTGTCCCTTAGTACGAACTATTGTTCAGCCTCCCTACACTTTGTGGTCATGTGTTACATAATTTTGTTTACTGTTTTTCTCTCCAGCTCACTTACTCACTGTAACTCATGAAGGAATTGTCTCATACTTGTATAGTCCCCTTTTTGGAAGTTTAGTTTCTCCTGTCTTACTCGTGCTGCTTCATTCTCCATTGTACACTTCACTATGTATTTGAAACTCATGACCACGTGGTCACTAGCACCTAAGAGCTTTTCCTGTGTGATATTTTCGTCTGAACTGCCAAGGTGAATACAAGGTCTAGCCTTGCTAGTTCATTATCTCCTAGTCCTCTATGATTGTATCCTTGACATGTTAGAACATGAAATTTTCTAGAACTTCCTCCAGCATCTTGGCTTTTTATGTCTCTGGTCCCCCGTGTGTATTCAGATTCTCCCAATCAATCTTCTTATAGCTGAAATTCCTATGATGAGTTACTTTACCCTACTCATGTGGGCCCTTTGGTAACGTCTGCTAGTGTGTCCACCATCACCCTGTTGCTCTCATAATATTCCTGTCTTGGCCTCATGCTCTTTGGTTGCAGGTTTTATATCACCCCTACCATCACTTTTTGCCCTTTTTTGCAGTGTTCCTACTATGTAATAATCGTCTACCCCTCTGACTAGTCCTTTCCTATCCTCAAATGACCATTGGTTCTTGATGAGCAGTGCAACTCCTTGTCTTCCCCCTCTGCCCTTCCCATTTTTCCTTGGAATTTGATAACCAGACAGAAAAATCACATCAATTATTACTTCTGTGAGCTTTGTCTCTGTGATTGCTATGATGTCCGGGGATGCGTCAGTAATCCTTTCCTGTCACACTCAGCTCTTTTATGAAATTCCATCTGTGTTGGTATACCAACTGGACCAATACCTTGTTGCCCAGCTTACGCTAGACGTTTTGATCCAAAGGCAGCCAGCTCTCAGGTAGGAAGCTTATAGCTTTTCATCTCATCCCCTGTATGCATCGACCATCTAGAGATTTTAACAATGCTAGGAATTCGCAAGAACAGGTTAAATATTCACAAACACTGATCTCTGGCCGAAGGAGACTCGGAACATACGAACCTTGGAACAAGGTATGCAGTGCTACCATCTGTACCACACCGGACCAATACCTTGGCGCCTGTTCTTTCGAATTCCTAGCATTGTTAAAATCTCTAGATGGTCAATGCAGGAGTCTTACAGCCTCCTGCCTGAAAGCTGGCTACCTTTGGATCAAAAGGTCTAGCGTGAGCTTGGCGCCAAGGTATTGGTCCAGTGTGGTACAGATGGTAAAGCACTGCGTACCTTGTTCCAAGGCTCGTAGGTTCGAGTCTCCTTCAGCCAGAGATCAGTGTTTGTGTATATTTCGCCTGTTCTCGTGAATTCCTTGTACATATATATATATTATATATATATATATATAATATATATATAAATATTATATATATATATATATATATATATATATATATAAACGATCTAGTCCACAGAACCACACAATCCTCAAGAATGACGCACCCAGCCAAGCTAGGTGTTGTACCCATCATCCAAGGACATAATGTGGTGTGGATGCTTCTGAGCTAATTTCATCCTACTCCCTGTTTGGTGTTCTAGC